ATAGTTATATATCTGTTAGATAGAAATAGGAATTGGGCCTAAGGCCGTTTGGAACGTGTTGTTCTACATTGTTATGTAACTTCTGTATTTGATTTGATATTATTCACTGGGCTTTCGCTCACGCTCATTCATGTGTTTGTAGGTGAGCCAAGAGAAGTCCAGATCCAGCCTCAGTGAAGTCTGTATGGAACAACTAAGGTTTTGAGAGAATCAGCCCTTGTGTCTCACGCACGAGACCCGTCTTCGCCCTTTTGTTATGTATTTACATTTTGTTAGGTTGGCGAAGTTTTGAATACGTCTGTATATAGTTTTCATGGGTTGACTTAGTTTGGATGGTCCTGTCTGTATAGAATCTTATGTCATTATACTTTCTGTTGTGAGTTATTAACATATGTACATACGGAATGTTATGGTGTCCATATAAGCACGGCTTTATGGACAAAGTTTTAAATTTGCTTCCGTTTGGCCCCTTTTACTCTGATGAGTCTTGTCTTATTTGGTTTGAGGCCGTAGGTAATCTCGTGATTATTGGCCGATTATGGCCTTAACCCATAGGGGCGGGTTCGGGTCGTGACACAATCATTCATGTCCAACGGCCTTTGGCCCAATCACTCATGTCCAATGGCATTTGGCCCAATCATTCATGTCCAACAGCCTTTGGCCCAATCATTCATGTTCAACGGCCTTAGGCCCAATCACTCATGTCCAATGGCATTTGGCCCAATCATTCATGTCCAACAGCCTTTGGCCCAATCATTCATGTTCAACGGCCTTAGGCCCAATTTAGTTATATCAAACATATCAACGGCAAACGGCCTTAGGCCCAATTCAGTTATATCAAACGTATTAAACGGAAAACGGCAAACGACCTTATACAAAATTAGGCATATAGAATACTTATTCATATTTCAAATCAACAAATCCATGAAGCTTATACAGGAGTAGCATCCGGAAAGTAACATACTTGAAAATATCTTTACTAAGATATTACTCATAGTGTTCTGCCGGTGGATTTGCCTTTGAGCTCGACCTTACACATTACATAACACATATGGGTCACAAACGATTCAATCCGTTCTTAATTCATACATTCCTCTTAGGCTCCTTTCTTATCATTTTAACTCATTCACAATGCTTAATGTGTAACAACCCTCACTTTGTCTTAGTCATACTCACATGCATTTGCATGATCTTTGTCTTGATTAAACTTGCATTTGCAGACCTTGATTTGTTTTGTCTAAGTGTTGTTTGCATGCTTTGTTCCTTGCTTAGTGTGTCTTAAGCCTAGGTCACACTTTTGAACCTCTTACACCTAGGACCATCTTGGAACCACTTTGGTTGACCTCCCCCTTCACCTTGGCATATAGGCCGAGATGTGTATCATATAGGCCAAGATGTTATCATCTAGGCAACCAACATCTTTGATCCTTGCACCTAGTGATCTTGTTCCTAGACTGGTATGACCTAGACCGAGATGTGGCACATCTAGGCCGAGGTGTGGCACAGCTAGGTCAAGTGTTATCCTTCCTAGCCGAGATCATTGAGACCTTACTTGCCGAAGCCTATGTCTTGACCCAAGGTTATTGTCTTGTCAGAGTGCCCTTGTCACCTTACTTGTTGTACACCCTTTGTCATGCTCTTGTCTTGTCAGTCAATCAGTCACCTTTTTTAGGAGAGCCAATCAGCCGTTGCCATGTGTCCTAGAAGAGGGTTAAGTCAGCCGGCAGAGTGAGAAAACATATCATTTTGTCATATCCTTGTTTTTGAAGAGAGAGAAGCTCTAGGAAGAGGAAAAGGAGTTTTTGAGAGAGAAGTAGATTTCCAAGCTTGATCCTTAGAGTTTGAACCGTTGGATTTGCATTTTGAGGTTAGATTCTTGATTTACTCTTGTCATTCTTTATGTTGATCTAATCGCATTGCATGATCTATCATGATTCATAAGCCATGTATTGATTTAAAGTTTGGTTTTAGAAAGAGAAAATGATGTTCTTGTGTTCTTGAAGAAAAACCATGTTTTGATCCGAAAGTTTGTAACAAGTTCCATATTTTTGTGTTTGTTTTCATGAGATCTCCAAGTATGGGTACCAAGGTCCATGTTTTTGAACTCATGCCATGCAATCTTAGATTTTGTAATAACAAGTTATGATTTTAGCATTCATGTTCTTCATGTTCTTCAAGAGGAAACCCAGATTTTCCAGACTTCATTTCCCTAAGTGTGGTCACCGAAACCCACTCTTGTTAGACCTCACACCTAGGCCAGGTATCGTATCTCACCTTGGCCTACCTTGCATGATCACCTGCACTTAAGTTTTCCTTGCATGCGCACCTAGGCCTAGGAGACCATACCTCGGCCAAGAGGTGTGGGACCTCGGCCAAGACCTAGTTGGTACCCAGCATGTTTTTCCCGAGATGAAAAACAGTGTTTTAACTCCTAGCACATGTTTTGCTTTGTCTTGACTTAGTTTTGAAAGAAATGCCGAGATCATTTACACTCATGCAAAGCTTGTTTTAGGAATGCATTTCACATCCATCTTTGAGCATCTCTTCTTGTCTTCTTGAAATGCATTCAATGGGGTTTTATTATGTACTTGTAGGTCTTGGATTCTTTCCTTAAGCCCTACATCCGAAGAGCTATTGTGAGTGGTATTTTTAATAAAGCCATGTTCTAATGTTTTGATAAAAGCTTTGTTTTGGAAAAGTGTTTGTTCAAGTATGAATGATTATCCCTAGTTCTGTATCAAGTATTATCTTGTTTTGATGACATTCTTGGAAAGTCCTTAGTGCTAGGGGACTATAATGCAACTAGTATCCTTGTTTGAGATATCTCCCTTGCCACCGACGGCCTTGTGCGGGTGGGTTTGTCTGATCGATTCCAGGTCGATTATTTCCTTGTTTTGTTTGGAATGTCATCCCTTGTATTACATTGATGCTAGTAAGCATCCCTTGAAGCTTTGAAAGACTTGATAGATGACCTTGGTTCATCCCTTGATTTTGTACAAGCTATGATATGTATTGATTTGATAAAGATCTCGAATATCATTCATTTAAACCTTTATTACTAATATCATTCACTAAGTATCCAAGCTCACCCTCTCCTTATATATATGTAGGTGACGAGCAAGAAGGCGGTGACGCCTAGATGTGTTTTGCAAGATGTTTTGGATTCATGTTTTACTAGCGTCTTGAAGATTATGCTTCTTAGCTTGTATTTCATATCTTTTGTATATGTCGGCTTGAGAAGCCTCTTGATCAAGATGTAACATACACTTAATTTTATTTGTATTCAAGTTATAAAACCGTGTTAGAATGTATGTCATTTCATCTAATCTATGCACAACTCTTATGGACTAATTAGGTTTAAATTTATTGCTTCCGCACATGTAAGCCCCATATGTATACTCTGATTGTGTGTGACTTTGCAAGTTGGCCTTTGGTAATCTCGGATTACTGGCCATCATGGCACCATTCTACTAGGGGCAGAATGGGGTCGTGACAGATTCACGCATGAGACCCGCCTTCGCCTTTTTGTTGTGTATTTGCATTTTGTCAGGTTGGCGAAGTTTTGTATATGTCTGCTTATAGTTTTTATGGGTTGACTTAGTTTTGGATGATCCTGTCTGTACAGAACCTATGTCACTATGTTTCTGTTGTGAGTTATTAACGTACATATGTATGGTTTGTTTTGATGTGCCATGTAAGCACAGCTCTATGGACAAAGTTTGAAATTTTTGCTTCCCTTTTGGCCCCTTTACTCTGATGTGTTAAGTCTGTTTTGGTTTGAGGCCGTAGGTAATCTTAGGATTACTGGCCGGTTACGTCCTTAACCCATGGGGGCGGGTTCGGGTCGTGACAGCACCGGTTCCTTATAGTACGTTATTCACACACTTTGAGTCCTAAAGAGCATAGGGTATCCCTTAGAATGATATTAGGATTGCGTCATATTGCTTGCTACTTGACAAGGTGTGCATTATCTCGGCATGAACATTTGTTGCTTGTAAACATGTTTATTTGTTCATTTTGTTTTAAAGCGTCACATGTTGCATACCTCTAGCATCATGAGAACGGGTAGACCTCCAGTTAGCCGAGATCAATCCGAGGACAGGTTAGACCGACTAGAAAGGATGGTAGAGGGTTTGGCCCATGAGTTGAGGCGAACAAGGCAACAGAACACCAGTACTACCTCTACTCAGGCCGAGCAGACAAACGGCCGAGATACAGTTCCGCCTCCACCTCCCTCAGTGTCGCAAGTGCTTGCACAACCAGCTTTGTATGGGGACGACACATTGACTTTGATTAAGGAATTCAAGAAGATGAATCCGCCGAAGTTTCATGGGGGTATAGAGCCGATGAAAGTCGAAACGTGGGTATTGGAAATGGAGAAGTTGTTTGAGATTTTTCCCAGCACCGACGCTCAAAAGGTGTCTTTGGCAGCATTCATATTGGATGACGACGCTCGTAGATGGCGGATAATGATTCGAGAAGGTAATCTGGGTTTGACTTGGGCTAGATTTTTGGAGCTATTTTATGACAAGCATTTTTCCCTTAGTGTCTGAGATTGCAAGACCACGGAATTCTAGACTTTGATGCAAGATAACAAAACCGTGGCTGAATACGATCGTACCTTCACCGAGTTAGCAAGGTATGCACCCCACATGGTCAATAATGAATATAGGAAAGCTAGGAAATTTGAGAGTGGGCTTCGTGGACCCATACAAGATCGGGTGAATATGCTTAACATGCTGACTTACGCCGGAGTATTAGATAAATCCATCCTGGCAGAAGCTAACTTAAACAGATATCAGAGTTCAGGGGAGAGCCAGAGGAAGAGGTAAAATTATGACAATCGCCGAGTACCGTTTGGTGCCAAGAAGAAGGCGAGTATGGGCAGCTCCAGCAACTCGAATCAGGAAGGCGATACTAAGCCGACATGTTCAAGTTGTGGAAAGCCACATTTCGGGGTCTGTCGTTGGGCGTTTGGAGCTTGTTTCTAATGCGGAGAGATGGGCCATCGTGTCAAGGATTGTCCCGAGACAAAGGCTAACGATAGCAGGAAAAATGGGAGCTTCCCGAGTTCTGCACAGAAAGGTTATGTCGAGAAAGGACAGATGAGGCAGGGCAGAGTTTTTGCATTGGTGCCAAGAGACACTCAGAGTGCCGAGACAATAGTGTCAGGTACCCTTCCAATTTGCTTTCAAGATGCATATATATTGATTGATTCGGGTTTTACACATTCATTTGTATCTGTTAAATTTGCCGAGAAGTTAAATAGTGAACTAGAACCCCATGGTTATGTGCTATCTGTATCTACTCCATCTGTGTGATATCCATGTTCCGTAATATGTTAATTGGTCCTTAACATGAATGTAATTATGTGTTAAATATGATTTTGTGTGCCATTATATGAAAATATGTGGTTTTGAATTTCTATCTATTCACCGTAGGAATATCTGTTTGATTATCTGCTTTGGAAATTAAATTCAAGGCCTTATCGGCCACGAAACCCGAAATTGATTGCACCATTGTGATTGGCATAATTTTTAGAGCCTACAGTGAAATTTGATTGGAAATTGATTTGGATCAGAATAAATTGATGAATTAGTGCCCAATTACTTTATTATTATTATATTGGAATTAGTGGAATTGGTTGTAATAGAGCACTACACCCTCAATTCTCTCTTTAGCTTCATTTGGCTGATTTTGAACTCAAAGAAGACAAAGGGCCGGCTATAGAGAGAGAGGGAGAGAATTGTGTAATCTTAGCTCAAGGTTTAGGAATTTGAAGATTAAACTCAAGGAATTGCTCTAGTTTGGAAGATTGAGCTCCTAGGTAAGAGAATTCATGAGTTTAATGTTGTAAATTGTGAATTCAAGTTTGATTAATGGTCAAGAACATGAATTAGTTTGGTTATAAGGAAATTGAGTTGAATTTGTTGAATTTGAAGTCATAGAACACATGCATGTAGAGAGTTGCTATGGATTTCCATGTTTGAGCTTAATTTGTGTAATCTATGTTGAAGTTTGATTGAAATCCATGTGTGTGACCATTTCTTCACCAAATGAGTTGTGAATAATGTGTATTTCTCACATGCAAGAATAGATCATGAAAGTGTAAGCTTTGCATGTTGAATTTGATGTGTTGGTGATGAATTTGGATTAATTTGAGACATGCATGTAATTAATACAAGAAATTGAGCTCCATGATGATGTGTTTTGGTGTTTATATCATGTTAGTACAAGTATATATGAAGTTGGAGCCATAATATGCAAGAAATGTGGTTGAAATGTCGAATTTGAGCTCAAGAACACAATCTCGGAAAACCCAAAAATTTGATGTCCGCTCGAGCGGGGAAACTGCTGCTCGAGCGTGAATGTCGTGCTCCCAGTATTTTCTGCAGACCATGATGTCCGCTCGAGCGGGGAAATTCACGCTCGAGCGGGGACCTTTGTGGAATGAACTTCCACACAAGCGTCTAAGTTAACGCTCGAGCGTAAAAATTATACATCCAACACTTTTTGCAGACATGGTGTCCGCTCGAGTGGGGAAGTTCACGCTCGAGCGGGGAGCCATGTAGAGAGGCCTTCTACTCGAGCGCCAGAATTAACGCTCGATCGTAAATTTCACCTATCCAGTACTTTTGCAGGCCTCAGGGGTACGCTCGAGCGGGGACCCTGTTTTCTGAAATTTTGTTTTCGCATTCTGTGTTTCGTTTTCCATTCTCTTTCACTTGCAAACACTCTTAGGCACGTGTTAAACATTGTAAATGAGTTAAGGAGATAAGAATAAAGCCTAAAGAGAAAAATGTGAATTTAGAACGGATTGAATTG